GGGGACCCCCCCCCCCATTTTTAAAAAAAGAACGGAGAAAGCCTGATAAAATAGCTGAATTAAATGTAAGGCTTTTGTTGAGGTATTTTGGTGAAAATCGGCAAAAAAAGAAACAAATAATTGAAATTTAATTGTCAGGGTGCTTACCAGTTTTATAAAACCAAAAGCGGAGACTTTTAGGGGTGTTTTTTCAAGAAAATCGGGGACTTTTTTACAACGGAAATCTTACGCAAGACTCGGCTTGACAACCCCCCCCCCCCCCCTCCCTTCTTGGTAAGGCTCCGTAAGACAAGCTCGGACCCTCTCCCATCCCCAAGTGCCTAACGTAATACTTTAACGGCTCCTTAGAAATGTCCAAGATCTTCCTTTATAAAAACGTATTTTGCGTGAGGAAATTTGGCAACGCTGAAATGTAGGTCCGTTCTTTCTCGGGGAGAACGTCGGGAGAAGTCGCTTTTAAAAGCGGATTTTCGCGAGAGATCTGGAGTGGCGGGCGTCTTTTGAGCGTTAACACTATCATGTCATTAATTGTCGCCAAGTTGAAACGGTGGAGAGACGAGTCGATTCTTGGCTTCGTCCTCGTCACCGCCGCCTCCACCACCGTGCCCGCCCTTATTTTCCTTCTATTTTTTGGGGCTGTAACCTCGGTCTCCGTTCCGCGTCGGTTCCCGAGGGCTTGTTTCTCGTCGGAAATTCCCGGGTCCCATCTCGATTTCCTGGAGTCGCGGTTCATTAAACTTTGCCCCGTGCGAGAGATCAATTGGACGCATTTCTACCGAGCGGAACTGTGTGCATTAAGACGTGAGCCCTGAGACCCATAAGAATAAATGCTTAACAGGGCTCACGTCATTATTCACATAGTTCCGTTCGGCAGAAACACGTCCAATTGTTGGAGGCTCCCAGACGAAGGAACGTAACTTCGTCGCGACTTGTTGCAAAATTGACTTAGACAATGGGTCACTTGCGTTATTCGTAGACGTGTGTTTTAATGATATCACAGGGCGTCTGCCATCAGCAAAAACGAAATATATTCGAGTATTTTATGCACCGGAAAAAGAACACATTGGATCTATAGTCCAGACTCTTAAAATCATCGACAAGAAAAAATACTCTTGATTCAATCGGATTTAAGCTTAAATCAAGAACCAAGCGTCTTAATTTGAGAGGATTTCCTTTTGATTTAAGCTTAAATCTGATTGAATATATATATATGAGTCGCTTTTATAGCGCTCTTTGGCGCTGTGCGACGCCTAATCGCCACAAAGCTCGGTCTTCCCACAGGTCATCAGGGAGTTGACAATCTCTTATCTCANTTTTTTTTTTTTTTTTTTAAACATTTGATTCATCTCATTAAATACATACATATATTAGTTTCTAAAATCAAACGAGTGTCAATTGGTTCGTTCAAAATCAGGCAATTTTATTTGAAAACAGGAAAATATCAGGAAAATCCGAAATCTTAGGGAAACACCCTGTAATTCAGATCATAGAGCAGCAAAAATTAGTAAGATTCGTGCAAACGCCAAGTTGTTTTATCCAAAATCAGCGGAGATCTCGCTTTTTAGAAACACAACGTCATCCATGCACCGCGGTGATACGTTCAATGGTTTTTCTGCTTTGATTTCACTTGTGTTTTAAGCCGAGCAACCATTACGTACACTGGAAAAAAAAAACACATTGGATCTAGA